ATATATATATATATATATATATAATGGAATATTGGAAGCTTTTATGTAAGTAATAAAAGGTTTAAAGTAAATACCTCTTGATTTATTAAGAGATGTTAGTTTAAATAATTTATCACTTGTATTCTTTAATCAAAGACTAGAATTTGATCTTGTAACAAAATAAATTTTTATTAGTGTTTGTTTAGTTATTTTATTAATTAAATAATTGTATGATTTGTTGTTTAGTTATTTTAAAACTCTAAGGATTAAGGGATTCTTATGAGTTTAGTTATTTAAAAGTTGTTTTAAGTTGAGGTCAAAGTTGACCAGGTTTAGGAGAAGGTATATAAGATTTTTTTAAAATGTGAATTTTATAAGTTCATTTTCTTAAAAAAGTTAGAGAGATAGACTTTGAAGCTGGAAAAAACATTTATCCTTCATACTTAGTAGGATTGCCCAAACCCTACCCCGTAGCCGATTAGTAGCATTGGTTGGAGGATTTGAAGCTTAGAGTATTGAGAATTCAGAGTTGCAACTATCGTACAATGAAGCTCGAAGGATCTCGTTCTTCTTGTTCTTTTTCTTCTTCCCTTAAGTTTGAGAGTTTTTAGGTAAGGGAAGCTTGTAGAATTTATCTTGTTGTATTGTTTAGGTTGATCCTTGTTGATTTTTTTATCAATGTTATGATTATATGTTGAATTGAGAAGCAAAATTCTTGTGTTGGGTTTTTGGTTGTTCATAAAGGACAAAATGATGATATTGGATTTTAATGGTTGCATGTTGTTAGTTTTGATGAAATTGAGTTGTATTTGGTGTGTATATGCTAAGGGAATCACTACATGCTGGGTTGGACTAATATTTTGCAGGTTTTGAGCCAAATCGCCATTCAACCAAGGGTAGAAATCACCATTGCATCAGACGTAACTTCACGGTGTTGGGCATGAAGTTGATTACGGCTCTATGACTCATTAACACAAGGCGTAGGATAAGTAATGTCATACGTGAGTTAGAAGAGGGCTCTCTAACTTAGTCACATTAGGTATGGATTGAGGGATGTTGGGTGTGCTTGCTCGATGAGCTCTTTGACTTGGTAATGTTGGACTCAAGACGAGTCACTTCAAATGTGATTGAGTTAGTGGCTCTCTTCCTAGACGAGGTCAAGCGCAGGCTTTATAGCGTCAACATGGGTTATACAAAAACTTTCTCTTTGTCTGAATAACGTTGGACGTGGGTTTTGTGACGTTGAACGTGGTGTGCACTGAGACTCCTTATCTCATTTACATCAAGTGCAATTATGCAAGTGGAATGGTGACGTACATGGACGAGCCAGAGGCTCTCTACTTCATCGACACCAAGCGCAAGTTAAATAACACTAGAGATGGTTGTGTTGAATGTAAATTGTAACTTAGTTGATTTAAATGTTGAAACATGATGATAGATGACTTTATATGGATTATGATTTAATCTAATTTATTATGTATTGTTTTGTGGTGATATGTGGCGATGAATTAGATTGATAAAGTGAAAGTTTATTATCAATTGTTGAATAAGTAGAGTTGTATATTGATTAGTTTTTTTTAGTGCTGATGGGGTTGTGTTGTGAATACTTGAGAGATGTAGTTGTGTTGTATTGTTGACTTAGGACTAATATTGTTTTAGAAGATGAATATCCCATTGTAAGGATATAAGTTGTGGTACTTTAAGAGCCCAATTGTTGAAAAATATTTTCTTAAGTATAATCGTCTCTTAAAGTGGAGTATTGAGTTCCCTCTAAGTCCTTAATTGATATTGTATGAGACAAGGTCGAACCATACTAATTTAGAAGTGACCAATCGAGTAAGGTATAAGGTTGGGGCCAAAATCTCTCACTGAATACTGGAAAAAGGCATAGTATTTGGAGGGTAAATAGGCTAAATCTATAAAGGCTTAGTTAAGCATACTAAGGTCGTGATAGACTTACACTCAATTTGTTATATTCCTGACAAAGATACTAGACTTTATTAGTCTAAGTAGTGAAATTTGAAAAATTATATTATATTGTGGATTGATATCCAAATTTGTTGTTGATTTAGCAAGTCCAAAAAGATTGTTAAGTTGGTTCATTATGATTAAACCACTTAAATTGCTTGCATTATTATGAGAGATCTTTTAATTGATATGGGTGATGATGCATTGAGTTGTATTATATTGTAAGTTGATATGTTGCTATGTGATTGTGCTATCGACAAGTTGTGTTACTATGTTCTAGTGTTGTTTAAGTTGTTATGTTGTTAGTTGTTGGGTTACTCAAATGTGTTGAAGAACTGTATTGTTGATATACTAAGTTGTATGTTGATGTGTGCTACCTCACCCTTGTATTTTTTTGTTGTGGAATTGCGATGATCATATTTATATAAAAGCAATGCAAGATTTGGCAGGAGGTGAGTTAATTTTTTAGGGTTATGCTAGAGATGATAGTGTTTTGTCAAAGTTATTATGAGATAGCTGTGTATAGTAGTTGATTGACCAACAACCTAAGATTTATGATTTCAGTTTGAATTATTGTGTGTGTGTGTAATTTTTAGTTATAGTCTCACGAAGGGATTTATATTTATGATTTCAATCAATTAACGAGTTGTATACATATATGTATATTGATACGTGTATATCCAAAAATTATTTATATAATAATCTTAGGTAATTAGATTTATGTTTTTTACTGTTAAATGCTAAATTGGAAGTGTAGTGACCTACTAAGTTGTTACAGATCCCGCTTTAAACATGAAGTCATAATGAAAGTACTACTTTATCTTTATATAGACATACTTGGTGGGAAGGAGAAGGAGTTATACCTCCTCACCATAAAAAAAATAAAAATCATTGAGTTTGATATGTTTTTTTTTTAATAAAAAAATATTATGATAGCTCTAATTATTTTATTTTATTATATTCAAAGGTATAAATTTTGTAAATTTGATTCAAATAAATATCTAGCCTAAGTAAAATAAAGTTAATTTTATTTTAATTATTTTAATTTTAATTATTTCTATTTTATTTCTCTCAAATTTTTGTTGTTGTCTATTTTGATTTTGTTATTCAATCTTGGTTCCTATAATATTTTTTTTTATATTAGATTTAACTGTTAGTTTGATTTATGTTTTTCAATCTTGGTTCCTATAATTTTTATTATTATTATTATTTATTAGATTTAACTGTTAGATGATAAGGATAAAAATAAAACAGAAAAAAATTAAATGGCCAAAAAAAAAAAAGAAGAAGCAAAATACTGTATTAAGTTAATTTATAAAAAATATTTGAAAGTGATAAGGCATGCAGAAATTGTTAGGTAATCATTCAAGTTTCAAAGCTTGTTAAGGAGTTTCACGTTCCTCTCCTCATACGCTATATCAACTTAACCTTACCTTACCCCTGTGGACCCTCCCGCATGACACGCCGCCCAAGTACGCACACTATATACTCGGCGCACGTTATCACACCTCCCTAACTTCTCTAGCTGTCCTTTTTTTTTTCGTCTAGCTGTCGTTGGTTGAAGTGTGGAACATATGTCCTTAAAATATTTTCTCTCTATTTTCAAAAAAACACAAAATAAAATAAAAGCAAAATTCAAGCCAAAAAAAAAAACATAAGAAGAGAGAAACACACAGAAACACAAAACACAAAACACAAAACACTCGGTTTGTTTGGGTTCATGCTGGAAGAGGTCCTCTGGATTCAGATCATCCTCCACGCACCGCAACACTAACCATCTCTGGCGAATCCGCAATAACCGACGTGAAATCCTCACAAATCTCAGGCACCCACTCGCTATTGGCACCCCTCTCCACCGATCGCTGCTGCTACAACCACCCACCAACGCCTCCATCCATTCCTCTTGTTCCTTTTGGAGTTCTTAATGCAGACCAAGATTGCGTCGAAATGAACGTAAATTTCCTTGGTGCACGTGCGGCGATAGCATGCAGGGAGAGGGAGTGAGCGCGCGAGTGGGTTGTTCGAGCGAGGTAGCGTCCATGCCGAATCAGGTGGTGCGCGTGCGAAGGGACACGATTTCAGCATGCATGACTTGCCCACTCTGCAACAAGTTGTTCAGGGAAGCCACAACCATATCCGAATGCCTTCACACGTGTAAGCCCCTCTTCCCCTCTCAAATTTCTCCAATTTCTCTCTGCATTCGCTCTTCTCCCAGATGGGGGACTCTGCCTAGCCCCAGAGAGACATGGGTATTTCGTAATTTCACGTCTCTCATTAAAAGTTTTGTTTTTTATTTTTTATTTTTCTTTTTTCTTCTCTCTCTATCGTGAATGCTGCTCAGAAACTTTGTGCTTTTGATTGGCCGAGTTTTCAGCAGTTACGCTGTTCCATTTAGGTGGAAAGCTGTTTGAACTTTTGACTACAGCCACCACTGTTAAAACTCAACCTTCAATTAATCCTTCTCTCAATCTCACTGCATGCACATTGCACAACACGAACCCTCAATATTATTACTGTGCTCAGCATTTCTGGAATATTAATACTTCTCTTGGTGTTTCTTATGTGTCTTTTAAGGTTAATTGCTGGTCTAAATTGATATCTTTGCATGCACTTTTCTTGTGTGCGTGCTTCGCAAGTACAAGCCTGTCGTGTGTGGCAACTAAACTGATAGTTTTTTTTTTTTCCTTCTTTTTTCTCTGGGGTGTATTCAGTTTGCAGGAAGTGTATTTACGATAAAATTACTGATGAGGAAATAGAGTGCTGTCCAATATGCAACACTGATTTGGGCTGTGTTCCACTCGAGAAACTGAGGTTAGTTTCTGCCTTTAATCGATTATCATGTTACCTTTTGTGTATACTCTTGTACTTCTTCCTTTAAAAAAGAAAAAAAAAATGAAATGGTTCTCTGTTATACTTTAAGTTGTTGAATATGCATGAAAGGTGTTGCTTTAACGTGGTATGCTGTGCCAATAAGAGTTTGTGTTTTTTAACTCATACTTCTTGTTACAAGGCTGCTGAAATGGAGATATAGCTTTAGAATACTTAAGCTTTCTTTTAAAAGTGAATTATATTGTGTTGGTGTTCTGAGAGATGCATTATAGAACTGTTGAGTAATGTTATTTTTTCAAAAAAATTTGAAGGCCCCTGGCTGAAGAAAAAAGAAAAAGATAACTGTCATACTACTGTTTTACCTGATTTTCTTTTAGGTCGTATGATATTGCAAAAGATTTCAAGAATGAGGATTGTTCATGCTTTGATGGTGCTACCAAGATAATTTTATACCGATTTGTTGCTTTATGAAAACTGACACAAGAAGAATCCACTCCCCGCATGAGAATTTTGTCATCTTAATTAATAGATGCTAGAGAACTATAGTATACATGGAAATAATAAAATGCCTTCAGTTTGAAATCTTTCAAAAATCTAGTTAATGATTTTTATATAGTAGTGCTGGTAGTTTATTTTGAATAATTTTCTACGTCTAATAATATATAGCGTCATACATTGAAAGTGTTTAAGGCATGTGAAATAAAAATGTTAAAGTAACAGTAAATTGTAAGTAGTAACAAATATGTTTTACTGTCAGCTGATTGAATTTATTAAGTTTTCATTTGAACTTTTAGTTGGAGACAGAGTAAGGAGGAGTTACGAATCAAAAAAAGAGTAGGGGTGAATTGGGTAAAGATGGTCCTAGTACAATTAATTGATTAAATGAATCAGATAATTAATACCAATAAAATGGGGGTTACATCTGTTTTAGTTGAGAATGTTTAAATAAGTGACGACATTATTGTTTGCAGTCCTTGCCTTTATTGATGTTTTACCCAAAGTTGATGTATTATCCTATTAACAAAGGATCTTAATCATAAAAGGACAGCAAAAAAGTATGGGATTTTAAAACTAGATAATATCGAACTTGGATCAAAGTATAGGGGTTATAATCATTTCACTGATGAGTTTTCTGATAGAGTAAAAAAAAAGAGTAATCTTAATCTGAACTATCTGAAAAGAAGTAGCCCAGGAAGACTGATAATGAGAAGAACATTTTTCTTAATGAATTACTTACACCACCATTCCACATATATGCCTTTAATAATCAAGCTCACATTAAACTTTTCTAAAAAAAATTCAACCAAACAAACCAACATAGCTGATGCTATGATATTTTCTTTTGAATTGTAGCATGCTAAGTTACTGATTGGTTTCTGATTACCAGGCCAGACCACAGTTTGCAAGATGTAAGGGCCAAAGTTTTCCCCTTAAAGGGAAGAAAGGTGAAAGCACCTGAACTTGTTACCTCAGTACCATTACCAGCTAGGAGAAAGGAGAGATCTCTTTCATCATTGGTGGTCAGCACTCCAAGGGTATCTACACAGGCAACCATGACAGGAAGAAGAACAAAACCTACAAGAAAGGCTAGTGGTCTGCGGTCCACTAGTTTTTCCATTGAAAAGTCCATTAAAAAAGAGGAAGAATTACTGGAAGATCATCCTGAGAGTTCAAGCTCACCTGACACTTCAAATAAGTTTGCTCAGAATTCTGGACAGGTAGTAGGAGAGACAATATGGCTTTTCCAGTTGAGCTTGTTATATATTGTTCTGTCTCCATTTTTTTTTTTTGGTCATGGTTCATTTGATTCATGTAATTATTATAGCATTATTTTACTCATAATCTTATGCTTAAATTTTTTTCTTGGTGTAGAGTATGTCCCCTTGTGAGGGTAGTCAATCCATACCCAATAAAGGATCAGAGAATGGTGCTGAACAATGGGATGGAAAATTGGATCTTTGGAAACCTTTGAATTGTTTAGTAGAGGTTGCAAGTAGGAGTAAATCTTTTAAGTCTAATGTTCAAGGGTCTGATGGAAAATTAGAAACCATACAAGTAAATGAGAATGACTCTCAAGTGCAGAAAACCAAAAATAAGGAAATTAAGCGTAAGGCAAAAGTTGATGATGAAAAGATTAGCCCTTATCCTGTCTCTTCAGACACAGCAAAACCCAATAAACTGCGCAGAATACGCAAGAAAAAGGAGCCTGCTTCTGGAGAATCAGGCATATCCCCCCAAGCTGTGTTAGATTCTGCCAGCAATAGACTCTTAAGGACTGGTCCAATTTGGTTCTCCTTAGTAGCTTCTGAAAACCAGTGAGATATCAAATCTTTGAAATCCTGTGCATACTATATATGTTCTATACATCCTTTTTTGGGTTATTTTTTTAAGTACTAATTTCAGACTAATGTTTCAGGGAAGGAGATGCACCCTTGCCCCAAATTCCTGCAAGTTATGTGAGAATAAAGTAAGTTCCCACGGACTCCCTATACCTGTATTGACACTGTTTAGTACATTTAGTTTTGATTTATTGCATGCTTTTAAAATAGGAATGTTATGCTTGGAGTAGTAGAACTCATGTTACCGAGTACCATATATGTGAATCTCTAAACAAATATTCATGAATATTCATCTCAGTTTAGCCTATCCCCATGTAAAATTCTTTGTTTTTTTTAAATGCCATCCAACAACCTCTAAATGTAAACCCTTACAGATTTTTGTCGAACCTCTTGTTTTGTTTATTTTAAGATAAATTGTTAAAAACACATAATTATCTCTATCTAGCCATCTCCAAGTTTTCCACAACTGAAGGATTTCACCTTTTAGCAATTTAGATTTTGGAGTTTAATCACTCGTATACATGTATCTTCTAGATTTCACCCTCCCCAAGTTGTCCTCACTTTTACGTTGATTGGAGGCCTTAATTGGGTAGGTTTTGGTAGTTGAGAACGGGAAACTTCCTCTTGCTTATATTTACTTAATGTAGACTTTTAGTAACCTCTTCTTTTTTCACTCTGTTGCAATCTGGACTGCCCCTTATTGCTGTGATGGGTAACATAATAACATCATCAATATATTTGTCAGAAATTGTGCAGATCAAGGAAATATTTTCTTTTTAAGCAAGGAAATATGTAAAATATTTTAGCATAATTTGGGGAAAAAAAAGAAAATTAAGTTCAATAGGGACCTATCATGATTGTGGAAACTGTGGATAAATGATTGGCTGGGTGGATTTTTAATGTGTATGTTTTCAAAAAAATCCAGTCATATCTTGATGCTTCTCCACCCACCCGAAATCAATAAATCTAGCAATTTCCATATGATTGCTCTCAAGATTAATTTCTTTTTTTTCTAATGTGTTGATCTTGAGAAAATTTTCAGCCTTTCATAGCCAGGGGAATCGGAAGGACGTTTATCTGTGTGCAAATTATCTAAATTTCAGATTCCATATAAACTATGCCAAGTACAAACCTTAAAAGTAGAAGATATTACTCCTCTTTTCCACTTTTAGAAGAAAATATTCTTGTAATCATATTACATTTACCCAAAATTTGCAAATGAAGAAATTTACGATTTTTTGCATTATGTATCAACTTTGTTGGTCGTAAACAGGAGAGAATTAATGTCTATGGATAATGCATGAGATATGTTGATTGGGTAATGCATTTCTACCATGTCTATGAGTTTTGTGTGTCTAGGTTAATTGGTTTCATCTATTACATGACAGAAACATGCTTGAGAAACTCTATCTATGCTGCAGCTAAAGCTTCTTAAAATGTAGAGATCTAACTGTACTGGAAAATGATGTCCTGTCTGTCTAATGTCTCATTTTGTTTGCCACAGGGATGGTAGCGTACCTGTCTCATTCATCCAAAAATACCTAATGAAGAAACTAGATTTGACCAGTGAAACAGAGGTAACTCCGTTTGCAATACATCCAAAAAACATGAATAGGACCTGAAAGATTTTTGTCTTTTTTGTCTTTTTTTTTTTTGTTTTTTTTTTTCCTTTCTCTGAAGCATATTGGCCAATTTATTGTTGTCTGCTATACCAAACCAAAGCATCAACAATTTGATTGTCCTGAAGCTCTTGTCATTCCTTCATTATTGGAAGAAGTAAATTTATAATTTATAGGAACAACCTTGGAAGTTGAATTGCATAATTTTTGCAGGTTGAGATTAAATGTATGGGACAACCAGTGCTCCCTACACTGCGGCTATATAATTTGATTGAGTTGTGGCTTGATACGGCGTCCACGTCACAGAGAATTCCAGCAACTATTGGATCCTCAGCAAAGGAATTTGTCATGGTCCTGGCTTATGCACGCAAGGTTCCACACCCATAATCATGATTCATACTTATAATGTACCTTTAAAATCTTCATCATAGCATAGTCACTCACCATCGCCACCCTGGAGGATGATAGGATAAGATAAGCCAAATAAATTATAAAGAATTTCTCTCCATAAAGCACATACCCTTTTATCATTAATGTAGCCATCTTGATCTTCTATCATTGTAATGTTCATTACATCCTGATTTTTCAAGACCATTTTTTAAAAATCTGCTTATTCCAATGATTTGGAGTGCACATGTGACTTAGATATAAGAAGCTAAGGGTAACCATGCCTCGTTAGAAGATATTTGTTGAGAATTTGACATTTGAAATTTTGAATCAAGAGATTTTTTTTTTTAAATTTTTATTTCAATAGCCATCAGAAGAGTCGAAACCTACTTAGATATATAAAGATTCTTTTCTCGTTGATAAATTAGATCTGTATGTTTCCACTGAAGCAGAAATTCACGCCATCACAGTTTCATCAAGTATATATTTTGTAAATATTATTATTTAAATTTAACTAAATATAATTGAATTTGAATTCGAATTTATCATATTAAATTAATAAAATATCATCATATTTCTCAGTTAAAATAATTTATTTTGATAACCTTTTCATTTTCAAAATTTTATTTCTATTTTATTGGATATTAAAAACATTTTTCATTATTTTCTTTTTTAAAATGTAATTTTTCCATACGAAAGAGTTAACTTTTTTTTTTTATAAAAAATATATAATTGCATCATTATGTATTGATGACTCATATATATATATATATATATATATATATATATATATATATATATATATATCTCTATAT